ATTTTAATTTCAAATTTTATCGTACAATTTAATACTTATTAGTTAAAATAAATTCTATTTTAGTAAAAACCTGACCTTAAAGCATTTAATAGTTATTATTACCTTACTTCGTTGTCAAGTTTTTTGAATTCTCGTATACTTGTATTTTGATTGGTCATTCCAGTTTATGTAACAGCGTTTCCCTTTATGAGGGGTGGTTAATTAATTTGAACCTTTTAAAACCTTTATTCTACAATCTACATTTAACATCATCACTTGATAAGACACCAGAGGTGTTGAAACAAAATGGCTATTTTTGTAGTGATTTTATAACATATTCATGTTATAAATTTTAAATAAACAATTATATATATATATATATATATATATATATATGTAACTACACTCGTTTCGAAAAACCTTCGAATTTTTGATTTGCCAATAATCAAATTGATCTCGAAGGAAAAAAAGGTTTTAAAAAAAGAAAGAGCTAGAAACATGAAAGTCTGTCGAAAAATATCGCACAGATACAGGTTCAAAGCCCAAAGAAAAAAACCCGACACAAGTAAACGTTAACAGTTTTGACAACCCCATGGGAGCATATGATGGAGCAGAGGTGTGTGAGTTAGTAGGGTGCCTGCTGATCTATATAGATTTAAATAACCATGGGTTGTACCACGACGACGGATTAATTATAGTGGATAAGAGTAACCCCCCAAAATCTGACACTATCCGTAAAAGAACTACACTGGTTTTTTAGAAAATTCGGATTCAATCTTGAAATTGAAACCAATCTGAAAATTACCATTTATTTAGACATTACGTTAAACTTACAAAATGGTACTATATCCCCGTATAAAAAGAGAACCAAGACCCCCAATATTTAAATGTAAAATCCAATCACCCAGCCCATATCGTAAGACATATTCCAAAAACATTAGCTATAGACTTTCAATCAACTCCTCTAATAAAGGCATTTTCGAGGCCAATAAAACAATTTACCAGGAAGCCCTATCTAAGAGTGGACATAAAAACAAACTGGAATATATTGACATAAACAGTTATAAAAGAACTCAGAATAAATGTAAAAATAGGCAGAAAAATATTTTGTGGTTTAACCCTCCTTTTAATTTGGCGGTAAATCAAAAATTGGCAAAATATTTTTTAACTTATTAGAGCAAAATTTACCCAAAAAACTGAGTTGCATAAAATATTCAATAAAAATAATGTAAAACTTAGTTACTGTTGCATGCCTAATGTAGGGACCTTAATTAGTGGATTGAATAAGAAAAAACTAGGGATAATCCACGTAATAGCCTGCCTAGTTGTAATTGTAGGAACAAAAACATCTGCCCTCTACAGGGAAAATGTCAACAAGAATGCATGGTTTACCAGGCGAAAATTTATAAGAATAGGGAGGATACAAACACTAAAGTGTACATAGAAGCTACTCAGGATATTTTTAAAAAAAAGATATTATAATCACACGAGTAGTTTTAAAAACGAAAAAACTAAACAAAACTAAAATACCACGCTATCCACCTATGTATGGAAAACTAGACAAGAAAACAATAAGGAACCCAACCTTAAATGGGAAATATTAAAAAAAATATCCCAAATATAAAGCTGGCCAAAAATTTTGTAAGTTATGTACTGAGGAGAAATTAGCCATAGCTTTATATAATCCACCTAACGATCTATTAAACTCTAAAACCGACATCCTTAACATATGTAGGCATAGAAAATCTTGGTTATTGAATTAGATCTAATCTCCCCTGTTTGTATTGTCATTCCACCTTTATTGTTCGTGTTTTCGTAAATATCCCCAAACTTTTAGACGTTCGAATAAATCTTCCCCCCCCCGATGTTGTGTTTTTCTTGTTTTTATTTTTCTTTTTCTTTGGTCACGTGGTATGATTTTGATTATCGCCTATAAATATGCTGTTTCTCTTTTGCCTCTTTAGCCAGCTTTCCCTGACGATCCGCTTAGGTGAAACCTGGGTAGGTTTGTCTAGCTCATTAGGTTTATATATATATATATATATATATATATATATATATATATATATATATACAATTGAAAAATATTAAAAATTAAAATCTTCAGACACACTGGGTTGTATATTAATATTCCTTCTTCTTTATTATTATTTCATTTAGATTCCTCGACTAGTTTCGGCCATCATGGCCATCATCAGGAGAAAAATAATTTTCTGCTTGCTGGTAGCAGTGAACTACAGAAATGAATCTATTGATGGAGAAAATGAACTTTTGTCTGTAGTTTTCATTTGTTTTTTGTTTTTTTGTTTTTAACATGAATTTTGGTCAGTCTTTGTGTTGGTCAAACAGTCTCTTTCAAGTTGTTATTTGAGATAAGAGCTGGATTGATTCATGCTGCTCTGAATTCCCCTGGTCATTTTGACAGTTTTATTGGTTCCTGGAAAGGGGATGTGTCTCTGTTAAGTGTGTGTGTGTGTTATTTGGTTCTTAGGGAGTGAGTGAGTATGATGTATGTAAGCGTGTATATTACTATGGGTGTTTGTTATCATTTGGCTCATTAGGGAGTGAGTGAGTATGATGTAAGTGTGTATATTCGTGTGGGTGGGTTTATAAGTGTGAGGCCTCAACACCTCCGTAAGTATGTCTGTCTTGTGTGGATGAGAAATGTGGGTAGGTTTTGATTTGTAGGGTTATATATTAATACTATCTATATTGTTAAATTTATGATTAAGTCCGGTTGGATAGTGCGTTTTTAAACGTTGTATCTTATTTTCATGAAACGCTAAAATCTTTCTAATGTTATCTGCTCTGGACTTTTCTATTCTCTCAGTTATAGTGATATAATTCCTTTACGTATATATATATATATATATATATATATATATATATATATATATATTGTTATGGTCCGGTTCCTTGTACCACGGTAATAGTCCAAGGTAGAAGCAATAAAGAAGAACTCGAACACAGGTATGGAATAACACAGATATATTACAAACAGGAATATATACAGAGAAGTAGAAAGTGTTAGTATGAACAATCAGGTTTAGTAGAGAGAACAATGTAGTCTCGACTAGTATCACTATTTCAATGTCTTGCAGTAATTGTCTGAACGCGACTCTGTTTCAGACTGCCTCTGACTCGACTCTTGACTCGACTTGAACTACTGACTCCTTGCCTACTCCTGAGGCGCAGTATTTATTAAGTATGGAATAGTCCATTATTATTATTATGGGTAAGATCCCATATATATATATATATATATATATATATATATATATATATATATATATATATATATATATATATATAAGAAGTGTAAGAAATGGATGCATATTCTCACTGGATTTACTTAATAACGAAGAGAACTAGACATTCTACCAGGATTTATTATTGACGGGGGCAATCTTAACGCCATAGGTGACTCCATGTTGATAGCAGATAGAAAGGAAACTGAAAGTACTCCTAGACAAGGTAGTTAAGTAAAGTGAAAAGAAAGGACTAATTATATTCTGTAACAAGACGGAATGTATGGTCGTCTGCAGGAATGTGAGCTACGAAATGGAGTTATAATCAAGCAATTATAGAATTTGGGCTTTGCAGAGTATTAAAGCAGAGGAAGATTTCGTTAAAAAAAAAAGAGTGCTGAACACCTAACCAATATTTATCCTCCAATATGACAGGGAACACTGGACAACTTCCAAACAGATAAAGAAGATATTTGAGGCAACCGAAATATAGTTATGCAGAAGGATGCTGAGAACATCATGGATAGAGTTTGTGAGCAACGAAGAAACTTTAAGCAAAATGGAAACTAAAATAACACTTACACTTAGAGACAGCTGACATTTCTGGCACGCATATAGAGAAAGGAGGGCTTGGAGAATTTAGCACTCACTTGACAATAAGAAGAGCAATGGAAAGCAGGGAATAACCTACCTTGTATTTATGTAAATGAATGTCACCACACTGAATATATCAACAAGAGATAGATCCGACCAAAAATTGAGTATTGCTAGCACATCTGGGCCGGAGCTGCCTAATCCTTAACTTTCAGTCTCGGACGAGTTCAGAAGCGCTTGCGTGGCCTTGTGGGTGATGAACTGTTTTCTACCCTTCAACATCTTTCTTACATACGGAACGTTGCTCGCCTGTCGCTGCCTTACCGCTGTTTTCATGATAGATGTTATCAGCGAACTACATTCCGTTGTTACACCAGTTCAGACCTTCACAGCTTTGAATCACCATGCCACGTATAGTTAGTCGTTAAACACCTGTAAAATTGTCGATGTAAAATAAAATAGGTTTGTTTGAGGTTAAGAATTAAGAAAAACATCTCCTAATAAAGAACAAATAAAGTCGTTGGAAACCTATCGTGTTTCTGAAATAAGATATATTTGATTGGGTCTGTTGAGAGACACTAGTCTCGCAAAAAAAATGAATAGCAGCAGGTTGTGGCGATACTTTTTCATTGAACCGTAAATTGGCAAATCAGCAATTAGCGAAAATCACGAAATTTCCGAGTTAAAAAAAAGGTGTTTCTTCCTCCAAAATTCTTTTAGTCAGAATTTTTCGTTTGTTAGGAGTACATGGTTTGCAAAAGTTGAGGTTGGGAAGTTTCACTCACTTTTAACCTCTCTGTCACTGACAAATAGTCGAAAAAATGTTCCTACTGGAGAACAATAAAAGAGCACATGGTCTGTAAAAGGTTGAGATTGGGTAGTTTCTCTTACTTTCACCCTCTCTGTCACTGACAAATAGTGGGCAAAATTTTTCTACTGGGGAACAATAAAAGTAGCCAATATAGTCCATACGCCTTGTTCAACTGCTACAATAAATCCTTTCTCCTGATGAAGAGATGGCCGATTTGACTTTCACAAATGGAGACAGTGCAACTTTGGTTTAGTAGTCTGAAAACAGCTAAGGAGACTTAGCTGTGACACAGCCGGTACAATGACCGTACAAACACCCCTGCACAGCCGGTACAATGACCGTACAAACACCCCTGCACAGCCGGTACAATGACCGTACAAACACCCCTGCACAGCCGGTACAATGACCGGTACAAACACCTCTGCACAACTTGTTAGACGAAAAAAGACTGGCAACGATATTTTATACAAGTAAATCACGAGTGTAAAGAAATGAATGAATTTCAACAAGGCGATATTTTATATTTTAGTTCGTATATAACTGAGTAAAAAGAGAGAGAGAAGACATTACAGGAATTGTGTGTGTGTGTGTGTGTGTGTGTGTGTGTGTGTGTGTGTGTGTGTGTGTGTGTGTGAAAGGTTAGCGACTAAAAGGAAAGATATCCCAGTGCTCGGTAACAAGCTTCCGTTACAGTCACTCCTATGGCTTGCTAGTAAGAAAAAAAGCGAAAGACAAGAAGTGTTCCATTTTTACAGGTGCTTCGTAGCGATCGCTAACAATTTATTGTCGAAACTAGCGAACCCAAAATGTCGTGACAATGTCATACATGTTCATTTTTTTTTTTTTTGCTTCTTTTTTCTTTGTTTCTTTTCGACTATAGCACAATAACAATATCATCATATTTTCTACATACAATTCAGCGTGTTCTTTTGAACTGACATGTAGACAGTGTACTGAGCGAAATATATGCCTGTGAATGTTTCATATAATAACAGAAGAACATATTACTTCAATACAGGCAATATATAGATACATAGATCATTGTTATATTTAGTGTATAGTCCCTGTAATGAATTAAGCAGTGATATTATAGTGGTTAGTATCGAGGTACTGTGGGGTAAATAGCTGCTCGGATTCAGAAATCGGGGAGCCGAGTTCGAATTCCAGTTGGGTTCGTTACATTCACTTACGTACAAAACCTCTGTTAAAGGTATTGATGTATCTCTTCTCCCCCAGCTATGGGTTGAATAGTTGGACAAACTGGGTCCTATAGTTTTGACTGGCAACCGGTATAGGGGAACGATAACACTGAATTCAAAACCCCCAACTATGGATTAAATAGCCCCGCCAAACCGCAATTGATAAAGTCTGGGGAGTACGACTACATCCATGAAGACATGGTCAATCAGGGAGGCGTTTCACTAACAGGAGTGAGAAAGCCCTGGATCCAGTGCGCTTTCAGTGGCCCTGGGAATTCCAGTCGAATTCATTAATGTTCACTTACGGGCAAATACCCTTGGGTAAGGTATGAATCCATCTCTTCTTCACCCAGTTTTTTGTTTGTTTTATCTCAGACATTTTCTTCTTCGTGTTTTCGTTTATCTTTTACTTCTCTCGCTTTTTTCTATTATCTCCTTACACTACTCTCTTACATTCACTCTTTCTTTTTTTCTCTCTCTTTCTTTCTTTATCGTTTAGATTTCCTTTCCTTTGTTCTTACTTTATCTCACACATTTTCTCCTTTTGCTCATTTGTTCTTTTCTTCTGCCTTTCCCCCTTTTTTCTCATTCCCCCACTCTCTTTCATTCACTCTTTCTTTCTTTTTCTTTTCTTTTCTTTTCTTTCTTTCTTTCTTTCTTTCTTTTCTGCTTGTTTGCTTTACCTCCCAGATTTCCTCCTCCGTGTGTTCGATTATCTTTGTTCACGCTTTCCTTCTATTATCTATCTACCCTACTCTCTTAAATTCACTCTTTCTTTCTTTCTTTCTTTCTTTCTTGTTACCTTCCTCTCGTTCTTTACCACAGATATTTTCTCTACCGCGTTTTCGTTTATTTAGTTCTATCTTTCATTCCTTTATCCCCCACCCTCCGCTTTTACATTCACTCTATCTTTATTTCTCGAGTTTCTTTTATCTTCCTCTTCTTTTACTTTAATTCGCATTTTTTATTTTTATTTTTTCCCATTTTCCTCTCGTGAAATTTCCTCTATTTCCGTTTTCGGCTTTATTTTGTTTTTGACAATTCTGTCTGCGCCTATCTCGCCATTTTCAAACCCAACCACCTTAAATATTCCTGTTTGACTTTTTCCCTCTCCGTTGATTCGTTTATCCAATTCTCCCTTTTTCTATATGGTCTCTATTATTCTGTCACTACAGCACTTTTCTCTTTCTTTTTACCCCAGATGCCCTGTTAGCAAATATAACAATGAAACCTGAAGCCTTTTTTTCTCCAGTCAGACAAAGCTATGCTCGACTAGTTACGACTTTCCTTGCCCTCCCTTTCTTCCTCTTTTCTTATCTTATTTTCAGCCAATCATATTATCTCGGTTGTGTTACATCATCCTGTTTGTTCTATTTTGAGAGCGTTCTTGGATTATTTTGAAATATTTTATCTTCTCTTCCTTCACATCTTAAAGACTGACGAAAAAGCGCGCAATAAATTCGTGTTTAACATGCAGCATACGAATGTAGATAACATTTACAGAGCTTTATAAATCTCAAGCCTTTGTTCATCTTTCAAATATGTCTTATTCTTTAGAGGTTTACTTTATCCTTGCGTCAAAGTAATATTGTTAACTACACACACAAAAACATCGACTACATGTAGTATTGTTGGACACAGGGTCATAAGTGTGAGGCACCCTATACTGTAATAATTCTCCACTAAACCATTTTGGTAATCATTGGTAAATGGAGAAATGGTTATTAAGATTTTCGTTTATTAAGCTAATACGAGTCTGGTACCGGACTCACTATATTATTAAATCGATCTGCGAGAGTAGCATTGTCATAAATTTAAGCATAGCTTTTAAATATTAGCAATGGGGCGCAAAGTGATTCAATCTCTGTCTGTCTGTCTCCACACACACGCATACGCACATGCACACACGTACATACACACACATATACACACACCCACCCACACACACACATATACACACACCCATACACACACGCATACATACACACATATAGATACACGCACACATACACACATATAGATACACGCACATACATACACACATACATACACACACGCATGCATACACACACACACACACACATACACACATTTTTTTCAGCAACCAAAAAGACCATGTAGTAGATGTAGTCAACAAATATTGTTGGGGATTTGTTTTGATGGCATTGTTACGTTAACATGTGTTCTAACTACTTTTAGCGATGACCATAATTCTGTTTACTTACAGTTAATAGTCTTTTCTTCTTGCTTTCCTTACTAACTTGTCATACAGTTCTTTCAGTTTTCATTCTGAGTTTACCACCAAACACTGTGTCATTCGATTATCGTAATGTTATTGAGTATGTCCGTCAATAATAAATCCTGCTAAGACTTCTAGTTCTCTGAGTATTGTTAAGTTAAATAAAACGCATCTTTGTCTTAATCAGATTTCTATTTTCGTGTATTCAGTGAATTCATTCTCTATCAGTATGCAAACTCTTTGCTCCCGATAAAGATTACAGACGACACGAATATAGTTCGAGGTGATGTATTTGGGTTCAGATTGAAATGTTTCGATCCAAACAACAAAATCAGGACACTATTCCAATTAATTCATCGGATAATGAAAATTTTTCGTATCATGTTGTATCTTTAAAAAGGTTACAAACAGACAAAGGTGGTACTCGAGTGAAAGGAACAGCAACACGGGCGTATATGGAAGAAAGAGAGGTTTATTGTAAAAGAGAATACACTACTGAGAGAGAGGGAGTCGACTAACAATTCCGGAAGCCATTCAGACAGATAGACAGACAGACAGACAGACTCTGGTATGTCCTACATATATTACTGATATAGTCAGTCCACAATAGGTAATAGGTTGACCTACGAAGGCTTGAAGTGTTCGACGATTACCTTCACTGCATTCTACGATGCCGCCGAATCGATTGTGTGCCCACAACCACTCTACGTCGTCGCCTGAGTTTCCGTCCTCTTCCACTCGTCCTGGTCCAGCGTCGTCAACGATGGTTCGGGCACGCAGCTCGACGCCCGAAGGGAGAGGTCATCCGCGATGTACTTCTCCCTCCTTCTCTTCCTGGCTGGCGAAAACCTCGGTGCGCAGCTGAGGACGTGTGGGCTAGCACAATCAATGATGACCTAGCAGTACTATTGGGTCCACAAGTAGTTGGTCTTCGACGATGGAATCGCGATTGGCTCACCATTTCTTGTGACCTGGCGAGCGTGGCAGTGATGGTCCGTGATGCTGTACTTGCTCGGGAGGAAACCGGTTCAACCCGACCAGGGTGAAAACCGATACAAGTCAAGTCAAAATAGGTAATAGGGAGAGTGGAACATTCCATTACAACATATCATAATGAGGAAAGTGTGAGAACGCACCGGCCAAAATAAAATGACCGAAACAACAAAGATGGAGACTCGTTTAAATAATTCAAATAATAATGAAAGGATTTTAGATAACAAGGGGTAGGTGGGGAAAATGCATGGCCCGAAATGTAGTTATCAAAAAATAAAGAAAGTTACCAATCTGAATTATTCATAAAATAAAAAATGGCTTCAAAGCTTCTGATTAAATAGCAAAGATGGAAGAGTGTGTAATTTACTGATTGAAATATGTTTACTACGCTTCGCCATTGATTGAATAAAGAATAGAATATATTGATCACGATTCTATTCAGCGTATTCATGAACCAATCAGAATTCCTACTGACCCCGAACGATTTCTGCTTGAGAAAATTGAATTTTATAAAAGAAAGAGCGTATTCGCAAAACGGAAGTGGAGTTCTTTTGTGTCAGGACCATTCAAAGATTTTCTCTGTATATGTTTGTACCAAATTGATCTTTTGACCGCAATCGGGTTTGAATTCATCGGCTATGATGACGAATGTAGGAAAAATATCACTTTTAAATTGTCTGTCTTTCAAATGATTTCTTCGAATTTCTACTTAGAGGGGGAATCAATAAGTCCGTCTTTGACAAATAGAATCTTTCACAGCATAATATTTCATCAATACGATTAATACAGAACAATGGATTAAACACTTTCAGAAGGAAGGAAATGATGTTTCCCAGACAAACTTGCCAATCATTAATCTACTATACCAGTACAGTAGTCCCCTTTTTAACCGCAGAGGCTATGTTCCAAGAGCCTTCGCGGATGCATGAAATCGCGGATAGTACCAAACCTATACCATATAGTTTTGTGGCCATGTTAGGGCCAAGAATAAAGACACAAAGAGAGGAATTGAGTTAAACAAATATATTAACAGAAACAGAGATACAAGCATATACAAACGAGAGTGTGACAGCAAGAATGTTCAGTCCGACTGTCAGAGCTGACTACTGGAAACTTCCCTCTTCAAAAGGCAGTACCTGCTCCTATTTATAGCTAGGAGAGTCCATAAGTGTGTGAATAAATTACCATACCATATACTGTTTTCTTATATATACATTTTTACATGTGTTACAGGTGTGAAGGAATTAGTAACAAAAACATTAGTAATGAGTGGTAATAGAAAAGAGTAGTCAGGATGACAGTAGATAGCGATTGACAATTCATTTAAATTTTTGCAGATTAAAGTTGGCTGGAAAGCATGGATCCGGAAGGGAGTTCCACAAGCGAGAAGTGCAAGAAAAAAACTGTTAGCATAAAACTTACGGCTACATCTCGCCAGCTTAACTGTAACTTGATGAGATCTCGACGCCAGTCTAATAATGTGCTTAATTTTTTTTAAAAGTCTAGTTAACTTAGCGTAGAGCTCATCAGAACAATTACCATGAAATTATTTAGATAAAAGACAGAATGAAGCAACCCTAGAGCGGTGAAAAAGCAACTGAAGCCGAACTGCCAGATCAGAACCATTAATATTGCTGATTCTTCTTTGGATCTTATCAAGGAGCTCCAGGTAAATAACAGAGGTACCGGACCATATGCGGCAGCAATATTCTAAGCATGGATGAATGATAGATTTATAGATATATAAGAGGAAAATTGTCTCGCACGACACAGTGTACCGACTTTCTTAACAGCTGACCTCGCAATGGATTCAATATAGTCTTTCTGTTTCCGTTTCAGCTGAGAAGCCCGAGAAGGCGCAACGCGTCGCTTAATAAGTTTAAATTATAAATTAGACACAAAAAGAGATTAACATCAATAATAATAAAATAGAACAATTATGTACACTATTTACATTATTCGGACTATTGTCCTCATCTTTGTTGCCATATTTATTACAACGTTTCGGCCCTTCAGTATCTGTCTATATTTCTGAGATGAGGTATTATGTACACTATTTACATTATTCGGACTATTGTCCTCATCTTTCTCGCCATATTTATTACAACGTTTCGGCCGTTGTACGCTCCGGCCTTCTTCAGGTGGTTGGAATGTCGAACTGAACCCTTTATTTCGCACACTGGGGTAGACTATTCTAGTTCCACCTGCCATGTTTAATGGATGTCAATCATCTCCTGTTAATTCCTCTCTCTAAGTTCTCCACTGCCTTAACCGGGTATTGAACTCATACTCTTTGGGTCCTGTCACTGGATCTAACTAACGTTAGTTAGACATCCATTAAGCATGACGAAGGCCTGTGTGTACAACGGCCGAAACGTTGTAATAAATATGGTGACAAAGATGAGGACAATAGTCCGAATAATGTAAATAGTGTACATAATACCTCATTTCAGAAATATAGACAGATACAGAACAATTAAGACAACATACTGACAATAAGTTACATGATGGATAGAAGATTTGGCCCAGTTAACAACAATAAATCATAATAAAATGAAATAGAATATACTGTAATAAAAGTTATATGACGTATAGAAGTTTCGTTCTTGCTGTAGATTTTCTTAAGCTCAATAAGATATTAAGAACAATGAAATAGAACAATTATAACAAAATACAAAGTTGGTCAGAAGGTCCAGACTTACTTAGAAAGCGGAAAGAAAACAACAAATCCTGATCTCTGTCTGGTGGAATTTCCAAGAAGTATTGCATTTCGAGCTTGTTCCACACAGTCGCGCCATCAACGCTAACATGTATTGCCAGCAGCTAAAAAGCGTGTACAACAAACTAAAGGGGTATCCTGCTTTGGTCAATCGAGGTCGGGCTTTGTTTCACCAGACAATGTGAGTCCACACACTGCCAGGTTGACTAAGAAATTCAAACAGATTGACAGTGTTGAGATTCTTCCACATCCACCATTCAATCCCGATGCTAATCCGAGTAACCTATGGCCTATTCCGCTCAATAGTATAATTCCTCTGCGACCATCGATTAAACAATTTTGATAAAGTGAAGGAAGCTTGTTCACAGTTGTTTTTAGTTTATTCAAAGCCAGTGGACG